GTCGCCTGCAAGCAAATACATCTTTATCATGTCTGAACAAATCTGAAGCAACCTGATTATATGTCACTTGACAAAGCGCTGCAGGAGAGTTATAGGGGAGTTCCTGCTCCCACCAAGACCAGCACCAAACCCTCGCTGCTGCATCTTGCTGTCCTTGCTCCAGAATCTCCTGGCACGGTTTGGCCCCTAAAGCAATGAAAATTGTGAGGAGATTGTGATTAGRCGGCAGGGAAAATGCCCAGTATTTCCTGAGCGAGCCTTTAATCCTGGTTTGAAGTCATCGCTGCCTTTGCAAGGGCCAAGAGGAAACTGTGGTGCTTTTGTGCATCTGTCAGATGCTGCTGCTTATTACAGCAACAGGAATGATAAATATGCAGAGTGCTTTGATGTGCATATCAGCTTGAACTCCTCCGGTGCTCAGGTAGAAAGCAGCTGAAACTATTGTTTTCATCTTGCATGAAAGGTTGAGCAGATGCTTGAAAGTAAATAGGACCTGGTAAAATGATAAAGAACTGAGGATAGGAAACACAGACTCTGTTCACAGCACTTATGAGGCACCTAGCTCAAAGTTGAACTATACACTACAGGTGAAGTACCCTATATGTATCTCTACTTATTGCAGACAACTGCCCATACAGCGATAGTAACATATAGGCGCAGGAGTAATAAAATCCACATTATCTCTCCAGATTAACTACTAATCTTCATCTTCAATAGCCTGAGAACAGAGAGACTTTACAGCATCAGTTCTATTATCTGTACGTATAGGGTTACCTCACTTATCTCTGGAAAAAGGATTACGGCAGGTGATGTGRACAGAGATGTGAGTGCAGCTCCGAGATGGGACACAGACCTGCTCTGTCTGTTTGTGGGAATAAGTTAGGACTGGCTCCAAAAAAGATTTCAGGCACCTAAAGGACAAGCCGTATAGAAATTAAATGTTTATATATTTGCCTTTATAGGGCTTTGCTGCATGTGTTTGTGGTTGAGGTTTGTCRGCTAGGACAGTCAAGAGGCTGTGTGGACTGGTGTCTGTCATTCCTGCTTGTTGCCCAGCCGTGGAGAACTTGGTGCCTCCAAGGAATCCCTGTTGGGAGCCAGGCATAACAGTTACCCATCTTGTTCCCGGCTGCTGAATGAGTCGCTTAGCATTGTCAGGTTTTATTAATTAAAGCCATTAACAGCAAATCTCTGAAATTTTACCTTTTGGGCAGAGCAAAGTCTGAACGTCTTTAATGACCCCTCGAATGAGACATGCAAGGTGGGAGAGGAGGAACTGAAGCTTGCATGGAAGCAGAATCGTCCTGTAGAAATAACCTCTCCTCCTGCCACTTCTGTGCTCACGTGTCCTAAAGCAGAGTGTGGGTCTGCTCAAATACATCTTTGTTCCCTGTTCCAGCAATAGCTAAAACCCCTGTGCGCTTGCTTACTCAATACMTAAACCTTCAGTAAAGGCCTTCCAACTTCTGAGTTTCAGGACAACAGTAGCCAGTTTTGATCTGAGTGGAAAAGGGGGAAGAAAGAGGATAAACATATAATGAAAAGATGTTTTTAATCATCTGGCACTGGTCATRAGCAAATTAATGCCATTGTCTCATTAAAAAGAATATGCCGTCTTTTTGTTAGTGTTTTCTAATGAGGTTTTATTTCCTGAGGAAGATAGGTGAGTATTACAGGCCTCTGTGGAGGAAAGAGGCAAGCAGGAAGCAAAGCATAAGAAACTCAGGAAGAAAAGAGTAGGTCAGAATATTGGTAAAGAAAAAAAATCCCATCATTCTGAGGTACTGGTCCACAAAAATGTTTTATAATAGCTGACTGCGGCAAAATCAACCCAAGGGTACAGGATGCCATAGGCCATAAATGACATGTCTATCCAGAAACATGTGTGGAGGGATGATAAGAGGAGAAGGCAGCGGTGGTGGCCAAGGGGAGAGCTGGGATGACCGGGTGCTGCAAAGGACACCTTGGGAGGGGACATGGTGTTGGCCCCTGCTCACCTGGAAACTGCTCTGAGGGAGGAAAGGAAACCTCCTTTCCTACCAAATCTACTCACAACAAGTGATGATTTGCTTCTCGTGCCACCTCCGAGGTTAAGGAAGAAGCTGGGGGGCTCAGCTGGTKCCCTCTCCTGGCGCTCAGCGTTAGACTTTATTTAAAACATTCACAGCCCTGACAGTTTTTTTTTTGTAACGCTCCTTTTATTTGAGGCTTTCTGACCCCGATTGCTCCCTGGGAACAYGGGGAGCGTGTTTTGCATGTGCAGCCAGCTGGGCGCAACAAGAAGTGTTTGCTCAAGGGGAAGACCGCGTTGCACGMGCGTTCCTAGGTGCTCGTGGCTGGCTGCAAGAGCACTGTGCAAACTGCCACGTTGCTTGGAGTTCTGCTCTGTGAGCTCCACGGCCCGCAGCATGCAACCACCTAAACAGGTCAGACCTACCTTAAATGCCCTGTGAAGCTGCAAAGCCTCTCAGGGACCACGTTTGCATGATAAATATCCAGCTCAGCACTTGAGCTTTTACGTTGCTGGACTGATGTATGTGTGCATGTATATATATACACTTACATATTATATAGAACTTCTATAATTTTATAATTGTTTTCTATATATTRTGTATTTTTATATTTTTTTTAAAGTAACAAGACATTTTCAGCGTTGTTACTGTTAGAAATTTGGTCTTGTGGAGATAGATGTCAAGCTGTGGTTGCTTAGAGGCAGAGGCCCTTAGTCAGGGTAAAGCTCAGTGAAGAAGTAATTTTATTTTATAGCATTTGTGGAACTTCTAACACAAAAGGAGCTCTTCTACTTTTCACAATTGATGTGAGCACACATACAACTCAAAGCCTATATTTCATCCTTTCCTTCCATTCATATCAAGCACCTAGGGACAGTCTGATCACGTGTTGGAGACACTGTCTACTATTCAATAAAATACTGCCTCCTTTGTGAAATTTAAATCCTGGATTTGGTAAGCCAGTGTTTTATTCATGTTTCTAACATCCAGTCCCAYGATGATCATGGTTCATTATTTCTTCTTGCTAAGACTCACTCTTACGCAACTATAAAAATGACAGCAAAGATATTTTAGTTCTTTGTAATTACTATGACAAATTMTATTATTCTAGTAAGTAGAAGTAATATCTTCAGCTTCACAAGTACTTTTTTTATCCTTAGATGTCAGTGTTTGACAATCAAGCCAACACCARAGTATTCACTCTCTACTAACCTGCTACCTTTCCTTAGCCTACTGCCTTCCTGTGCTACTTGCCCAATGCAAGCTGCATGCAAAAGGTGACACTTGGCAACCTCATCAGCCACCAAGATCCCTTCACATGCTGCAGCAAGCTTCTCCATTCTTCCTGRTGGAAATATATGTCCTGTGCCCATGGAAAACGTCAACTCCAGATTAGACCATAGCACCCTAGCTAAATTTGAGACTGTCTGTTTTTTACTTCTCATATTCTTAGGATTACTAGGTTTGATACGGGTGAAAACTCAAGGAGCACAGCTGTGGTGGCAGGTGACCATCTCCTGAATTTCTCAGACTCCAAAGGTTTGAATAAGCTGCTGCACTGAACTAAAAATCTGAACCTTCAGAGGTTCATCCATCACTTTTACTAAATTACCTCTTCATTCTCTTTTCTGCTAAGAATCTAATTTTTATAGCACTGTAGAGAATTTTTATAGCACTGTACTTTATCTTGTCACAGTATTTTTTGTCATTATTTTCATCTCAGTGAACTCTGGTACTAAATAGACTCTGCTAGCTGGGCTGTGGGATGATGAGGGAGATGTTCATTTGCAAACGGTAAGAGCTCACCCTCCTGGCCTTCTGCCTTTAAAGCCAGGGTTCGTAGCCTTCTTGGGTGACACATGGAGAAACTGTCTATATTTAGTCCTGCCTCTTTTATGAGTAACTGGCTCGAMCTAGATGTCTCTTTTTCTGGCAGAGAAGCACATTTAAGCTGCTGAGGACCTAGCTGACCTCTGTGATACTGAGGAAGCAGAGAGGAACTGCAAAATTGGATGAGCTTTACAAATTGGTTGGCAGTTTTCCCATGCAAATCAGGAGAAATGCTCTCAAACACTGTAGGATCATTTGCATTGCTGGCATCAGTTTCTCATTTTTTACAGTCACCTGGCTAAAAGGAGTCCCTCTTTCCAAAAGCTCTTTACCCCTGCAGARAAATGGTAGAAAGGGAGAATAGATGAGCAAAAGGGATGAAGTAACTTGTGCAAGGTCATGTATGACCTTAAGCACCTTCTCACTGCATGTGTCAGTGCAAGTAGTTTCCTAATGGTTGGCACTTCCAAGGATTCTAAGGATCTTCACAGCTGGGTACATGGCCTGTCACATTACTGGAAATGTGAGAAGAGAAGGGTGTGCAATGGAAGGGAGATCTCATGTTCCTCCTTCACCCAGTTTTCTTTGCCCTACCTTGTCCTAATCTGATGCTAGTGCAGCAAAATGACAATTTTATACAATAAGACCAAACAAATGTGTGTAGAGGTTGGAGGTGGAAAATTTAACTAAAGATTTTTAGTTTTGCTAAATGCTACTGCAGCCAAACTCCTATATTTCTTCCACCTGAATATACAATCCTGTGCAGAAAGCCTAGAGGCAGAGAAGTCATTTAGGCTTCCACAGCTATAAAAATTTSTTCAATTAATACACTCCTGCATGAGACAGCTAGGTCTTCACTCCCTATTAYAGCTCCTTCATACTTCTTCTGGTAGCCAGGAAAGAAAGTAAAACCAGCGTAATTGTGCAGTCTAGGGAACACATCCAGGGCCAGGAGACCTCGATGCTTCAGCAATTCCAGCCCATGGCCCTAAGGCCATTGATGTTGGGTGTAATTACAGGCTGATCTCCAGCACAGCTGCAGATATCAACCACCCACCACACCAAAGGGGATCGGCAGGAGACCTATTCCCTACCCACGTGTTCCTCGTTACCCTCGCAGAATAAATAGGTGCGGAAGGGGCAAATGTGAAAAATGGCTGTTGTGGGTGTCAGCAAAGCTGTAGCTGCTCTTGGGCTAACCTCAGCTCTTAACCTCAGGCTTAACAGTGGGATGATGCTGGTGAGTCTCAAAATGTTTGGAAGGGTTGATCTAAGGGAAAGGATAATATGGAGGCTGGAAGTCAGGACTTGGCTGGCTTTTTGTTAAATCCCATGTCTTTTTCTTTTTTTTTTTTTTTTTCTTCTGCCTCTTCTCTCCTTTGTTTTTTGTCAAATCCTGGGAAAAGGAGTGCCATGGTACAATGGAAAAACATCTGTGCCTGGAGGTCTAGAGAAGGGCAAAGAAAAGACTTGTCCAAAGACAGGCTCTTGGTGCCTTGAGTTGTCTTCCCATAGCCTAGTATCTGTGATTTGTACAAAGCTCCCTTCAGTCTCTGCTTCATGTGTCTTAAAGCAGCTAGTGATCTGCTGCTGTGGTTCACAGCTCCCAGTGATGATTTTCCCAGTCCTCATCCTTGCTCTACCATCCTCTTTGAGATGGAGAGGAAGATGTGGGTTCTTGTCCCACCTGAACACCAGCTATTCTCTCCAACACACTAGAAAATGAGTTTAGACAGCTCTGTGCAGCATTTATGAGCCTGCTTGAAATCAAGTTAAAAACAAGTAGTTCTGCCATAACATTCATGAGCCTGCTATTTATAAACCTGTGTGGTGTATAGACAGAGGAAAATCAGACAAAGACTTTCAGGAGGCTCACTCCTTCTTTAAAAGGGATCACAATTCAACTTAAATTCTTTAATGGCAATCACTTAATGGCAGGATGTGCTAAAATTTTGCCTTGTTCAAGCAGCAAAACTTTAACATTATTCCAAGCTGTCTCAAACCAACACAAGGAATATCTCCCTACCCAGGCTCCCGGTGAAACATTGAATTCATGCCTTGCTTGTTCGTTCAAAAAGTGACTTTTCAGACTTTACCCAGATGGCTCCTTTCCTTAGGTGCTGAGATTGGCTCCCATGTTCCTTCAAAGTAACATGTGTCGTTTATTTTACTGGTATCCGCTTGAAAAGCCTTTTGTCCTCAACTTGTTGCATTCCTGCTGCACACGTGTCCATGGTGTTTGCAGTTGTCCAGTTTCTCAAATGTACTCCATCTATTTAAACCTGCCTGTCCCCGTTTCTTGTCTTACCTGCTGTACAGCGCGAGCGGAGCCGGGCAGGGTGGAGGTGATGACAGTGCTTTTTTATCTGGAAATCTCTGGGGGGATAGGATTGCATGGCTTGCAATTAGACAGCCAGCTACTGTGGCAGAGCACATCACTTCCTTCAGCACGTTATCATTTTGAAAAAAAGCACCAACCTTTTAATATACAGTATATCTTGCTGTATCTCTTGTGGCTTTCTCTTAGCTGGCTAAAGAGACTGAGCTTGAGGGCCTTTAACTCTTCAGACAGAAATCAGGCTTTACTTGAGGCTTCTTTATACATTTTATACACAGTTGCAGCTGCATTGCACTTTACAATGTAAAATATGGGATGACTCTAAAGGCAACTCCCTGTTGTCACACTTCCAGCGTTAAGAAAGACTTTTCATGCTGGATGCTCACAGCAGYTATGTCAGGTCCATCTTTTCCAGGCCAAGCTTCCAGTTTTGGCAGCTTTACCTGTGTAGTGGCCATAAGATGCAGCCCAGGGCTGGGTTACTGGAGCTTATCCTCTCTTGCAGAAAAACAGTTGCATTTATGGAAGAACCTATGTGGCAGATGAGGCTGAATTCCCATTTTCTTTTCTGGGATTGTGCAAAAAGGAAAAACCATAGTTCTAAGCTTGGCAATGCAAATGGAACTGCAAGAAATTTAGGACTTGCAAAAGGTGATGGCAGCACGGTGCCCAGTTTCTGCAAATGTTTTTAAAATCTCAGTATTTTTCTATCAGAAGAGATCCACTGTTTGTGCAAGATAGACTGGTAATAGCAGAGCCGGGTACAGATGGATGCTTAAAACATTATAGAATTTTGTTTTTCTTGCCACCRTGCTCCTGAGGATGTAATTTCTTTTTTATTTTTCATTCCTGAAAGTTTTGTAACCACCGTTCTTTTTCATTCAAGAAMTAATTGTTGTTATTTGGAGGCTGGAAGAAGCCTACTCCACATGAAAAAGTTACTCCTGTAGATTCTGTGTCCTGGCACCACTGATAAGGCAATTTTCTGTTATTAACTAAAATTATTCATTGTTGGCTGCAGAAATCTTATTTTTCAGAACTTAAAAGMTCTTATGTTCGAACTTCATCTTTTTGATAACTTTCAATAATGTTAGAATTAAGGCTCTACACTTAAGCTTTATTGATCAAAAGCCCAGACTGTTGGGCTTATTTTTAGATCTTGCACCTAAGCAGCTCAGTTTGAAACCTTCCACAAAACCCTTAACTCCTGTGCACAGAGGAAATCCCTGAGTTCTTGGTGTCTATTTTCATAATTGAGAAAGGAAGATAGCTGTGGGTTGAATATGAAGCTTAGAGATATCTCTCTGAACACAGATTTTATTACATTTATGCAATTAGGAGCAAGTCAGCTTCCCCAAGCTGCTGTTTGGTGAGATTGTGGCTCTAGTTCAACACGCAGCCTTGGAAATAACCCGACTTTTTCCAGCAGTGAGCAGCTGAGCCGTGTAGGCCTAGAACAGTGCAATGCCAGCAAAAAAGTTTTATCTTAATTTCCTGATGCCGGCTTTATGATATGACAGGAGTTATAAAGGGTCATTTATCTTGTCACGCCGAAAGGGCTGTCGTCATTGGAGCCCGGAGACTGATCTTCAAAGTCTGCCTGRAAAATTATGCACCTTAAAAGCCTCATCCCAGACCAGCAATCGCGGAGCAATACCCATATATTAGCTGYGCTGGACAGATAACTGAATACTTAACTGGTACAACAGACTTTGAACCTCAGTGTTTTGTTAGCTGACATATTATATTGCCTAACTGCAGCTTTCCCTTGGATTTGGTCTGTTGTTCCTTGTTTCTAGGAATTAGAGTTAGACGAAAAAAGTTTAAATGAAAAGAAAGCATCTGAACATATTTTTGACTTCAACTCTTCTCCCAAATGAACTGATTTTTTCCTTTTACTGCACCTCTGTTCTCTTTTTCCAGAGGTAGTATGAGCTAGAATTGGGGAGGASGAGGGCGGTAGTGCCTACTACTTCCTGGCATGCTCAAAGAGTGCAATAAATTGGAAAAAAAAAAAATTTGCATTATTAAGCACAAGACAAAATTAGATGCTATTTGGTAATAGCAAAATGTAGATATGTGAGAAAATAGCTAATGCCAGGTACTGTTTGAAAAGCTCTAAATTGGATTGCAAAAGTGCTTTGGACATCTTAGTTCAAAGATTACATAACAAATTTGCTGCTAGAAATATTTAGGGAAGAGATGGGAAAATACTTGGGTATTACTGGTTAGTTTCTACATCTCTTATGCCTGGTTCCACAAAACTTGGTCAATGTCTGCAGTGGTGCAAGAGGCACCTGTCAGCAGGGGCTACTTAGCTGATGCTTTCAGGGACTATGAATTTGTTGGGAGCAATTATATTTCATTTGATTTCTTGCAAACATTTTGTGATCATGACTGGAGGCAAAGTAAGTTAGAATAAAGAATGAACTCTAGGACTCTTACTTTCTTAATGCACAGATTCCCAAAGAATAAGAAAAAGGAAGCTTTGAGCCTTGAATTTTTGGCTTGCTGTGTTGTTTGYGGGTCAAGTTAAACATTCCCTGCTGTTCTAAATAAAAGCTACAAAAGGAGRAACTATTTGTACGTGGCCAGGACAGAGCAATTAATTCACATTGTCAGGATTTAACTTGCATTTCAGGGTTGCTTTGTAACTTTTTCCTTGTTGGTAACTTAACTCTTTTACAATTCTGTTTCCCTGGACAASAGGGCTGTATTCTTCTAACATCGTGATTTTTTTTTTTAATGGGAGACATAAATTATACCTGTTTCAGTGAATTTGCCACAATAAAGAACCCATTTCTTTCAAGATTTTTTTAAATCTCCTCGGAGAGTGAAAGTAGCATTTGCTGAAAGTAAGGTGCCTTTTGCCAGAAACGTGATGCTAATCCTCTTAGTTTTAATGGTTTTGAAATGGTTTGTGTAAGAAGGTAAACAGAGTAGCTGATTAATAGGAAGGAAGTCAATTGGCTATGGTGCAAGTGTTATATGCTATACTGTACAATAGTTCTTTATTTTTAGAGTGCAACACAGACCCGTCTCCTTTTTAAAGTTCTTACTTGAAAGCTGATACATCTTCTTGTACTGTACGGCTCCAAAGTGTTTGATTCCATCACAAAAAAAAAAACATGCAGTGCACTTTTGAAGGGGAAGTCAAACAAATATCASTGATAAGACATTGATGTGACCCCAGTTATCTTCCCTTTTTATTGGAAATAGGCAGGTATAATGAGGTGCTTCACATTTAAAGGACTTAAATCTTAGAAAGCTCCAGGCCTAGATGGTCTGGATTTGGGCTTATTAAACTCAGACTTGCAGTGTAGGGAAGGTGGAGGGCAGGGACATAGAGACTCACGTAGTGTCATTTAACCTTTTACTGACCAAGTWTGTCTTCATAGTTAATATATTAAAAGGGACATCCCTTCCTGTGCTGCTTTCCAGAGCCTCCTAGCTGGGTTTCCATGCCGAGGCACACTAAAAACCAGATCAAGGCCCTAGCAAACCGTCCCCCCTCAATAATTCAACTCCCAAGCCTCCCAGAGCTTGTTGAGTGTAAGGTGATAGGGGCTGGTGGTCGCCTCCACTCTTTTGTCTGGCACAACAGCAAATGTCCCGCTGTCACGAGCCATGGGGCKGAGTGTGTGCGTTGCTCGTACTCATCCATTGCCCAGCACAAGTGAGTGCCGTGGTTGGACTGCGATGCACTTGAAGGTCTCACCAAGAAATGCAGTGGGTAACCCTAGAGCTCTGCAAGGAGGTGTGGTGCCTATGGTTGCAAAAGATGGTTGGGACAGGACTTCAGGGCATGGATAGGAATGTAAGCTGGAATAAATTTGAGACGTAATTGAGAAATAATTGGAAGACGAATTGATTACGGATGCCTGGGGGAGTTCTGCTGGTTTTTCAAATGACACTGAATGAGTGTGATGTATGTGGGTAGCATAACTTCATCCATGCCTTTCTAGAGGCATTCTTCAARAGTAAATGCAGTAAAATATTGCAACAGCCTTTGAAATGAATAAAGGACTTTCCAGGAGCAATCCTGTTCTTTTGCACCTTGGTCCTCTTTAGAGAGACTTTGGACGTGACAAAGTCTGAACTGAGGATCGCAGGTATTGATGAAAAGACTTCTGCTAACTTCATTATCCTTGAGCATGCGCTGGGCCCATCAGGGGTGGTGCTGGAAGCCATCGGGATGGAACATAAGGTATAGTTAAGGCTGTCTTATTACAATAAAGCGCACATTTTTTCCCCAAAGTCACTTTGAGCATTGCTGAACGCTGCTTTGGGAAGGCTCTCAGCAGAACTTCATTGTCATTGCTGGGTATTTGAGCCCAGAACCTGCTGTGACTCTCCATTAATGAATACCCCTTTTTTCTTGTTATGCTGCAGATCTGCAGCATTCACATTCATTTTGTTTCACTGGCRTTTGTTTTGCCCTTTCATTCTGCACTTTACTGTTCTTAAATGTAATGTGCAGCTCCTACTGTTTTGAAATATGCAGGTGTTTGCCCTACACTTGACATCTTTCAGCCATGCTGAATCTCAAATGACTAAGCAGTGATCCATGTAAACGTCATGTCATCTGGAGTTTGATGTGATACCTTTTAAACACAGGAGGTGAAAAAGATAATCCTTTCCTGTCTTTCTTTCACCTGAAAGATGAATCACTCTATTTGTACTGTCTGGAAAATTAAAAAGCTCTTATTTAGCACCACCATTTCAGAACCAGTGCCTTAATGAAATACAGAGGCACTTCAGAAACCCAGGCATTTTTTTCAAACAAGTACAGATATTTTCTACACAATTTTAGGTATTTATTATAGCTCTTTCATTACAGTTTCAGGAACTGATGTAGTTATATGTTTCAGGGCATCTCTAGCAGACGATGAGGCATGTGTTGCATTTTTTCCTTGTCTACATAGGAGTGTTAAAAGGGGTGGTCCCTGATTTCAGCATGTACCACATTTCATTTTGTTTATTTTACTTTGTCATTTGATTCCCCCTCTTTCTAAAGCACATCCTGGTTTTTTTCCAGAGCATAACCAAACTTGGATCTGAATACTATGSAGTCCAAAAGACTGAATCCATGCAGAACAGAAATAAGAGAGGACTTGCACAACTGAAGTTCTGCCATGAGCCTGAGGCTCCTGTGCTGTAACCTGTTTCTGAATAACGGAGTGTGGTAGCTGTATCACTTCCAGCTCTGTCATCTTCATGTGAAGGCTGGGAGTGCGCTTGGGTGTCACGTCATTTTGGGTCTTCAGTTGTGAAGAATGGCTCAGATTACCAATTTCTATCTCCTACTGATCCAGAGACTGGAGTTTAGCTTCTCATACAACTCCTTCTATTGCTAATTAATCCAGGTTTTGRGGCAGTAATTTATTGCAGTTCATCATGAGTTCCTTCAGTCTTCAGTGCTTAGGGAAGTGCATTTACTGAGGAAAAGAGGAAGTTTCATCCTTTCTTTTCAACACAGCCCCACGCACTTCGAGCCATGCCATTTAATGTAGCAGCAATGGTGTTGCTATACATTCTTTCCCTTTTCCTGTAGTCAACTAAATCTTGTGTTTTGGAGGTTGTTGGCTAGGTTTTACATCTCTTGTTCTTGCTGCATGTTTCGAGCAGCAGATCTGTCACAAAAGGTAGGGTGACAGTGGAATCACTGCGGTTTATGCCCAACTTAGAGGTGGGCCTTGGTCATGCAACTTGCAGTAGGAGGCAGGATGCTCCAAAGGCAATAAAATCCATAGTTCAGCATTTTACAGCAGTCTGTTTTCTACAAATGTAGACCTATAAAAATTCATAGAATTTGCTTCTGACTTCCACTGATGAAAACAAGAAGTGAGTTTGTATTTTAAATTCACATGCAATCCATTCTATCTTTCAAAGTTCTGGACTGTTTTCTTGTAATCTTTCTGTTATTAAACCTTYGAAGACAAATTGCCTTTTTTAGTGTCCACTTTTTTTACTGAACTGCTGAAGTTTTCAAAATAGCTTGTATAGATGAATAAAAATGAATTTTACTCCTAGCTGCTCAGATTTTCTGTAGTTCTTTGAGCAACTRGGCTTTTTAAAAAGCTTTATCAGTTTCAATGAAAAATGCAGATTGAAACAACACTGAATTCAATCTATGAGTATTTTCTTTAGATATAAAATTCAATCTACAATAAAAATAAGCCTTCAAAAAGCCAAGGATGATTCCAGCTTTAGGTACTAAACTGTATGAAGCTACTGAATTTCTGACTTGGAAGAACTGATGTTCYGAGCTCTGCTGAAGTCTAAAACTGAAACAAATCCCCTAATCTCCTGCTAAATCAAATAACCAAACTATGTTAAAGCCCTAACTCCAAATGAGTTTCTCCATAACTTCCACATCTTGATCAAATGCTCTGACTAGAGCCATGCCCCTGGGCTAAGGCTTTATTTATCCTTGCTTGGCCCAGCTCCCTTGGGTTCTGCCAGCTGTTTCCTTCCCCTCATCCCGGGGCAGGTCACAGCTGTAGGCAACACTGCCCCTCACTAGCACCAGGCAAATAAGTCCAGGGCCTCTCTCTCTTCACATGATTATAAAGTCAACGGAAACTAGTCTTGCACCTTGATTTTTGCTTTCCTTTTTATTCTGTGGGTCTGTTACGGATTTTTAGAAATACTTGGGGTTTTGCGATCCAATTTKCTGGCATTCTCTGCTGTCCTTAATGGACTGGCCTGTTGCTTTTCTTTCATGCTGTAAAGCTTGCAGTCTGATCTCCTGATGTTAATATGCTTGGAGGAATCTTATATCTCTACACAATATTTTTTTTAATGCTTATTCTATCTTTKATATAAGACTGCAATAAATAATTTCCTGCTAAGGAGCGTGGCTGGGTCAATAGACCAAAACCCTGACAGTTGGAAGACTTAGGTTTTGGTCTTCAGATAGCTATTGTGTGACGTTAAGTAAGCTATTTGCTGTGCTTGTTCCTGCAACTCATCTGCCTGGGCCATCAGATACCYCATGGGAGCACATTTCTGTCTGCTAGTGGGGAGATGCTCCAGCAGCAAGATCCCAGGAACCCAGAAGCTGGAAGGACAAGTAAGTCACTAGTCTGTCTACCATCACCGATACCAAGACATACTGCTGCTCTTCTGACTAGATGGTCTGTACGTTGCTCAGACTGGGATGGACAGGATTGCTTTGGTGGCCTGTCYTTCTTGACTCCATAGGCCCATGCCGCTAGAAGAGCGACCAGGAACACGCTGCTCATAAAAAGAGTAGCCAAGGACACTGAGAAGTGGAGTTATGGTCAGTGATACCTCTATCAGTGAGACCTCAGGATAGCACCTGGCTCACCATCTTACGTTGCCTGAACCTGGTAAGCTACTTTTGCTGTTATCTTGTCTGCTGTTCTGTGCATGCCTGAATGCCAACCTTGCCGAGCCACTAGAGGAGGCCCATGTAACATTGCAGGTGTTAAATGTTAAATTTTATTTTTATTTCTGCAAATCAATGCAGTCCACTGGGCGCATCCACCCGGGATGGATGCTCTTCTGCATCACATGGGGCTGCTGTGGCCCTGATTTCATGGGGCTTCAAGCACAGCAGGCCTGTCAYGAGCTCTATCAGTTAGACCCTGCTTTGTTCTGTAATTCAGCTGGGCGCCGGTTGTTCTCACTGCGGGGTAACATGAGTAATTATTATAATGATTTGCCCCCTCCTTGAAACCATATTTTCTCCTAGCAACAAGCTTGAGCACCACGAGGAATATGATCAAAGTCGAAAGAAAATGCTCTTTGATGCAGGGGCGTTTTTGTTGCTGTTTTGGTTGGGGAGGGCGAGCGAGTCTGCCAGTGCAGTCAACTAATGACAAACATGGGATAAATCTCCGTGGGGATTAGCAGAGACTGAATACAAGTCAAGTGGTCTGCTTCGGTGATTTCAACCAAGCAGCAAAGCAGCCTATGGGTTTTTTAGTGTTTAGGTTGCTGCAAAGAATCTTTGCTGTCATCTCTGAGCCGGTTTCTCCATATGAAATCTCCTGGAACGCTGAGGTCTTCTTTCTTAGGGGAGGTTAAGTCCCTTGCATTATCTCCTCGGGTGAAAATTCATTTTGCTCCTCTTGCATGTGCATTTGAACAGCCCCTTCCCACACGGCAGCCTGCCCGGCTCTCCCTTAGGCGATAGYAGCGTCAAGTGTTGCTCAGTGCTACTTATCTTGCTCACCTGCCAATTAGCTATAAACTGTAAGGAGCATTGTACCCAAAGAGGAGGAGGGGGGAAAAAAAAAAAAGCTGGATCGGTTTCAAGTTTAATTACTCCAAAAGAATTCAATATATTATTGCCTCAAACAGGGGGGGGAAAAAAAAAATCTGAAGCTTTAATCCCCTTTGAAGATGTTTCTTACTGATATATCCCATCACATATTTTTAACACTGGTGACAGTACTTGGAGAAATCATATCCTATGCTCAGTTAAGCCAGGAAATGTGTTTGATTCTTCTGTTATAATTTTCAGGGCAGCTTAGTAAATGGTATCTCTTTACCCCCTTGTAAACTATCCCTTTGATACTTGCTTAAATGATATGCAGCTATCCCATTTTCTTACATAAAGTGTCTGTATCATATAAAACATTTGCCTTGCATGTATACTTTTGCTTATTCTAGAGTTGCTTTTATTATGAAGATGTTAGGATTCCTAAAGCTTTTTTTATCCTTCTTTGTGTCCCATGAACCTGASATTAATTCCTACTTCCAAGGAGCAAGGCCAGAGGACCTTCATAGTAAAGGTGACCGCAGGGACAACATGTTTTTAATGCGTCCTGGCCCARCTTGCAGCAAGCTCAGGGCTGTCATGCTCACTGTGCATCCTCACTTGAGAGGAAGGTACGGAGCACTGCCCAAGGGATGGACATTGCAGTGTCTTTACAACTGGGTTCTTGGAACCCACATTCCTTGTGGATTCATTCCTCAAAATTTTCATCCATCAGAAATAWAGAAGTTTGTTTAAACTTTAAAATGTGAAATATGAAGATTGATTATAGAACAAAGTACAGCCAATGTGCATAGTTTATGATACACAATGTCATATAAACCAATGCAATATTATGCGTTAGTATTACGCATTGGACAAGAGCTCATTTAGTGTGGAAACTTTAATTTTATTCTTCTTGAATGTGCATTTACTTATTTTCCAACACAAATTCACACGGGTATTCTGAGCTGTATTTTTCACTTAACCACAGCTCCCGCTTTAGCCCTCCTCAGCTGGATGGCTGTAGGATGAAAACAAATCCTTTCTTACCTCTGCTAGTGAACCCGTGCGTTTTCCCTGCTGTGAGCCGGCCTGCACAACGTCAAGAAGATTTAATATTAAACCTTTCYGCCCAGCATTGTTGGTGCGCGTGTATAACACAGCATCAACCAAAGATCACGGTGACAGACGGCAGTCTCCTTCCAAAGGACATTTGCTTCTGGCCCGTTACAATAGCYGATTCATAGCGCAATAGTAACTCATTGATGGCGATGCATAAAGAGGCATCCAAAGTAAGAGGCAGGTGCTGACAAGGGCCACGTTGGGATGCGTTCCCGTGGTTGACGGCAGCCCTCTAGAGCCAGCAGGGAGCTGTGCAGGGGCTCCCGACTGGACTGCGYTCCTGACCTGCCTTGCAGCCCACAGACACCTTGCTGGGGCTTTGTTGTTTTTAAAAATATCTATTTTATATATATTTTCCTATTTTGMTGAAGAATGGGATAGAACAGTTTTGCCATTCACCATGGTTTGCTTTTCTGCATTTTTATTACACCAATGAAGGGGTAGTAGCAATAAGATGAGTAGAGGTGGGGTTGCAGTGATGCTGTCTCTCTGGAAGAGAATGTCACTAATGTTGGGGTGTTTAGGGTGAATGGAGAAGCAGCAGCTCTGCAAATGAACTGGACCCGAAGCATATTAAAATACAATGATTTTAGTGAGCTTAGGGCTGGATGTTTAACAAATGTCCACTTTTGACTCTGCACCTAAATGTAATGTTTTACATGAAGGGCTCCCAGTGTGACACAGACAGTTAATGAGCTCTTGGACCTAGGACCTACTGGTGCAATGGGTGTACCATTGCAATGGTACACAACGGGTGCCCACCAAGATGCCCTCGTCTCTAACCAAGGTGCCTCTCATGCTATCTCTAACTTCCATTTGCCATTTTTTCCCAATCTGCTCTAAGGGCTGCATCCAAGAGCCTTGTGAGCCAGCTGGTCCAGCCCCGAAGAAGAGCGCTGCAGGCGAGGAAGTCAGGGTGAAGATGGAGGGTCTCTGTGGGACTTCTCTCATGAATTCCCATCTGCCACAGCTGCCTTGAGAGATTTCCCCATCTGCCAGATCCTGCTTTGAAGGGATTCCCGGTCCTGTGGGCTGTGTCAGTGCGACCCCGGGAGATGCACAGAGAAAACCTGCAAATGTCAGATCCGACGCTTAGCCCTCCTTTCCCATTTTTGTAAATTTTCAAGCAAAATGTCATGTACAGTGTTAAGATGGATTCTTGCTCGCTCTATCTGGGTTTAATTTCACAAGGAATTGTGAAGTCACTTGAATTTTGTATGTTTTAAAATTCATTTCAGGGTCTGTTCTGAAGGAAAACGCCTTCTCAAAGTCGAAAGGATAAAGGTAGGTTATTGAATAAAAATGATATGGCATTAAAAAAAAATGACTCCCATACAAAATAAGAACCCTTCCCTGTCTTTTTGCCTAAAGCAGGTATTCATTTGGTACATGAGTGTGTTCTGAATTGGAGTCTCATCCATGATCCATGGAAGCAGTTTACGTTAGGCCAAGTTTTGCATCTTGAACCCCGTTCCCTCTGGCATCGTGAGGATGCAAACAGAAGATCGTGCCTGTGACACCAGCAGCTGTGAAACGACGAAAGCAAAGTAAGAACATATCCCAAAAAGCTTTGTACCCAGTTGGGCAATTGGCCAGAGAAGTTAACAACCATTCAGCGTAGCTGTGTGCTTGAGCAAACAGAATCATGTTTTGGACTGTGTCCGGCAGCTGAGTGTCTTGTAAAACTTATTTTTTATCTTTTTTTGGTTTGTTCTGGTTGGAAGCTAACAAACCAAAATTAAGAGCTGTGGTTGACTTGCCTGTTTGCATGTATCTTGCAGAGTTAAAACACATGCAAGTGTTGTGCTCTGGGCATCACTGAAGACAGTGTGCTTCTTGGCTGCTGAAAATCTGCATTTTCATACCTTAAAAGAGCATTAAACAGGAAGCTAAGCATCCTTCCTTGCCAAAGCAAAGTTTTTCTGTTGCTGGTCTCTGCTATTTCCCTCCCTGTCTCTTGATTTTTATATTGACACCTACAGTGTCCCTAAAATACAAGTTACCCATGCAATTGCAGGTAGTGCAATATTCTCCYTCCACGTATAGGGAGAGCAACTGGCTAAAGTAACAATCCTGGGTAATTTGCCTGAGCACTTTTGGTGTTACTTGTATTCACCTCCCCTAACCCTGTGCTAGCATGATAAGCATTATCATTTTCTYCCTTGCACTATATTTTGGCCATATACTGGAATTTGATCCAACAGTCACCATTTGCTAAGGATAAGAAATGGCTTTAATGCCACACACYGACACCTGAATCCTATCAATTTTTCCCTGTTTCATTTCTTCCAATAACCTAACCAATTGGCTTGAGCAAGCAATTCAGAAAAAAAATAAATGTAATAGAGGTCCCTCTTTTCAGCAAGGTACTTCTGCCCAATTGCTTTCATCTTGAGAATACAGCTATGAGGTCTGTTTCAAGGGATGTCCTTCAGCAGGCAGCATGAATTGCAAAATCAGTCACATAAATGGCCTACCATATATAAAAATAACCAATATATCAACAGGGCTGGAGACAAGCAGCAGTTAAAATAACTACTAGATCAGTAACACTAAACTTACACTGCAACTCGACAGACAGATACATCTGAAAAGGAAAAAGGCAGCCCCTTTTTAGTTTGATTTATGTTATTACTTCATTTTTTTATTCAAGATATGAAACACTCAGAAAAGCAAATGCTAAAAATTGAAAAAGATTGCCATAACAATGTGAAATACAAGACAGGTGTGGAATTGATGGAGGAATGTTCCTGTCTCTAATGAGGCAAGTGCTGTGGCATGGGAGCTGGGCTTGGTGTTGAAGAGTCGCCTTGTGTGGGTGCTGCACCTTGCATGGATGATGTGGGCTTAGGAGAACTGGGCTTAGGAGATCCAGGCTCAGTTCTTGCTGCTGTTGGGTGTCCTGCATGACCAGTCGTCCTGCAAGGAGCTTGTCTCTCTATCCCATGAGGGTCTGGGGTGACAATGTCCTGCTCAACAGTTGCACAGGGCACATGCTGGTGTCCTGGTCAGAGGACACCAATGCTGCTGCCTCTGAAAGTGAAGGGAAGACTGGATGGGATGGAGAACATATTGRGAACATATTGGGTACATATTCTAGAAGATCCTCGTCTGTGCAGCTGTAAGGAGATTTAATGGCAATGCATTTAGGAAAGAGCACATCTCATCTATCCTAGCAGGCTCACACCAAGTCCCACGCTGCTTAAAGTCATGAGCCAAACCTTCAGTGACCTCAACAAGGATGGAATTTTGCCCCTGAGCAGCAAATTCACTGATCCAAAAATATTCTCCTGGCAAAGAGCAATTCTGCACATGTATCAGACSTCCCTCCTCTAGCTGGCATGCTAGAATTACTGCTGTACTGTGGCTGGCAGTGGGTACCTGGAGACCTGCTGGAAGTCTGTAAGCAAGGCCAGGCTTTCCAGGCGGTGGCAGCATTAGCCGTGTGCCGGGTCTTGCAGGGAGGATATCCTTCCTCGCAGACCTGGAGAGCGGGATTTGCAGCTCCGGCGCTGCCGTGCGGGATGCGCACAGGGCAAAAAGCCCCAAAACCCTGAGGAGTTTGCCCTCTGGCCTGCCTTGTGCTTTGGGCCCTGACAACAGGAGGCTGTTCCCGTCTCAAGGCCTGCTGCCTCCTCCCGGGGCGCCGAGCCACGCGAGGGTGCTGGCGAGCTGTGCAGCACCGCGCGGCTCTGCACGCTCGCAGGCATCCACTGCTGCCCRAGAAGCCAAAAAGCACTTTACACAAAATAGACTTTGAAAAACATCCCGGTTATACTCGTTTTGAATGTTCTTTACATTACCTGTCGCCAAGATTTTGTTAAAAACCGTGACAACTGCTTTCATCCTGCAGCTGAGCTGCAGCCGTGCGCCTTGCAGGGAGAGCTGGGTTCCTGGGTCGCAGTTTTTGTCTGTTTTTATCTTCTGTGCAAGAGGATAACTGGGTGAGATATCRCTGTGTAAATGTTCTTGTGAGGGCTGAACATTTCTCGGTGCCAGGAAATTCTCTAGCAACACACAGCGTAAAGGAAGACCAGAGGATTTAAAACTCTCAGAACTGAGAATGTGAAGTCATAAATACACGTACATACATATAAGTACCTAAATATTCAYACAGATCAGAAATACCAGAGATCTAAAGCTAAAATTACCCAGAAGCCACATTTAGCGACAGACTTAGGAACCAGCCCAGAGGCTTTTCCTAAGAACTGAGCATCAGAGGCAACCAACTGATGCTTAATTAAGGACTATAGGACCTACATGCTATCAGAAGCAGCACAGACAGCTATATCTCTAACCCATGAACAAATCGCTTGTTTTCCAGCCCTCTGGATGTGATGCAACTTCATTATTGCAACCACCTGAGAAATACAACTGTGGGAGAAAGCTCGGAGGTCTGTGCACCTCCACCGTCCTGCTCACTGGCACTCTTTGTGTCGGTCTATGGGTGATTGGGACCCCTCCTCTGCCAACATCATGTCCCTCTTGCTCTTACTCTATCAGGAATATGGCCTCAAAATGTAGTAAATRTTTTGAGCCAGATGCTGTATATTTGGAATAAGAATTTGCAGATGAAAAATATATTCYATCCTACAGAAAGAAGTAGAAAAGGAAAGAAGGAAAGAAAGAAAGAAGACTTTTTTTTTTTTAGAATAGCAACATAAATTGTGGGGTTTTTTTTAGCAATTACAGATGACCAGGGAACTGAGCATGCTTTCCTTGTTGCCCATCTAAGCCTTGAATCCAATCACTTGTAGCATATTGAGCAACATAGCAAGAGTAAAAGTGGCAGATTCTTTCCCTCAAAGAATGATTTGTTCAAAAAGTTTCATATTCARATAATTTACCATGATTTTCTATATGTGCTTTAAAAACTAGTTTCTATTTAAACTTAATGTAGTATCAAGATCAATTGGAAAACTTAAGATGGATGCTGTAGGCCGGCATTGTTCTTTGTCTATCGGAATATGTCACTAGCATCGGTAGATAAAATGGCCATGGTCCCAGAGTGCTGAAAAAGCCCAGAGAATATTGCTCCAAAACAAAAGCTATACAATCAAGAGCTTTATTTACAAACACTGAGATTATGTTCCCGACCTGACCTGCTCATTCCCTTCTCCAATATGACATTTGCCACAGGCACATATAAGACAGGTGAAGCGGATTGCCTGCCATTGTCTATCCACCTCCTGCACTGTTCCCTGTCGGAAAACAACAACAYGGAATTGTTAGAGCAGCTTTAGAGCTTTGCAAGGGCTATGCTGAGAGGAGAGCTTTGCCAGTCACTTCAGCTTAGCTGCTTCGTTGCTGGTGGCAAGACTCGTTTGCTTCAATATGTCCTGCTTGACTTTATGACTGCCAAAGAGAAGTAATTGGAGTGATGAGTTTTGGTAACTCTGTTGTTCAAAGGAATGGCAATTAATCCCGATAGTCAAACATTGATTATTTTCTGTGTTATTATTAGACTATGTTCTTCCTAAAGCTACTTGTACATTTGAAAGCTTTCTCTACTATTTGGGCTGTTCATCAGCGTTGGATTGGAGTTTTGGAGTGCAATACATTGTCCTTTCTGATCTTGGCCTTGGAGAGTCTTGGAGTTACAGTCTTGGCCCTTGCTGCTTTGAGGAGCCTGGGACTGGTGGTTGCTTGTATGTACCGGTAACACTCAGAGCTGTGCACTGGCCTCCTGGCATGCTGCTTAGAAGCCAACCTCAGGCTCATGTTGGCCAACTGGRAGGGACAGGAAGCCCTCCTAATGTTCAAATGTCTAGAAGTTGCACTTTGGGGGACCCAGGTGTGCTGGCATGGGGGTAACCATCCYGTCAGATCACTGTCAGAGGTTACCATGACCCTCAAATCAGCTTTTTTTACTCCCTTAAGTACCCAGTGTATCGTACTCCCATGACTGCAAATATCAGTGGACGAAGAACCTCACCCTAGCAGAGACCTGACCCAGATCAGGAGACACTCAGCAGCATCTCTTTGTGCCTGGTACCCCCACGAAGAGGCAAAACAAAATATACCCAGCAAAATATGTGAAGCATACCCCAGGTGACCCTGTGAGTTTTAAATGCTACTAGTTGTACCGTATGCACTCTTTAGATGCAAACGGACCAGGCAAGCTCTGCTTCTCTTTAAGCCTATTAAATTAGCTAAATTTAGACTGCATTGTAAATCACGTAAGGCAAAAACRGCAGAGCGACTCCACATCCTGTGAAGAGCGTGGGGTGAGAAATCGCGCCTTCGATGAGCGCAGACGCGCCGTTGGCGCGGGCTGGCATGGCCCCGCGTCTCGCCCGGCGTGCATGCGTCATCCGMGCGCTGATAGACCAAAACTGGAGGGGAAAGGCTAAAAAAAAAGACAGCTCAGGAGATTATAGGGCAAGGAGGCGCCTCTGGAGGTTGCTATGAGCCTGGGGATGCGCAGAGCAATGTGTCAGCTCTGCAGCGGTACGGAATTTGGGTGCTGCAGGCTTYGTGTGCAAGCTCTGCCATAAACCTGTGCATGCAAAAGAAATGCGTAGGTAAAGCACTACTGCAYTGGTCAAAACTACATATAGGCTGCTACTGGAAAAATATCATCTGAGAACATTAACATATTCAATCTGAGAAGGGTAGCTTTAATAAGCAAGGGAACAGCCACCCAAAGCAAATGGCTCGAGGACTTTAATTTAGAGACTTCAAGTCAAAGGTGCACAAACTACCTGCAGTTGAATTTATATTCGTAAAATATGACAGAATGTGCTCCATACCTAACTAGAAAAATAATGATGTTAGAAAGCAGAAAACTGTATGAAAAGAAAGCATACAGTTTAAAAAGAATGGGAAAACAGGAGTAATCAGTAAAACCGTATGCTGGATATCATGAGGTATGGGTAGAAAATGAGAACTGACAAAATTAAAGTAAGTCAAGCTTTAGAAAGTGTTTTAATAGAAAYACAAGAGTGTACTTAGGCACATGAC